CTGACTGGTTTGCAGTGAAAGACCCAGGAGGAAGCGGAGGAACAAGTCCAGGTGTCCATTTGGACTCTGTAACGCCTTATTCACAGCACTTTGATAGAAATGTGTCTCTGTAAAGTATCTTGGTTTTGACCTCTTGGAGGTTGTTTGTTGTTCTTCCAGCAGATTGAGTCCAGAGTTGATGAAGGTCAGATGGACATGAAGAGCAGCCAGAAACTCCTGAACACTCAGATGGATGAAGCAGAACACCTTGTCCTGGTACAGTCCTCTCTCCTCTTTAAAGATCTGTGTGAACACTCCTGAGTACACTGAGGCTGCTCTGATATCGATGCCACACTCTGTCAGGTCTGATTCATAGAAGATCAGGTTTCCTTTCTGCAGCTGATCAAAAGCCAGTTTTCCCAGAGACTCCATCATCTTCCTGCTCTCTGGACTCCAGTGTGGATCTGTCTCAGCTCCTCCATCATACTTGACCTTCTTCACTTTGGCCTGAACCACCAGGAAGTGGATGTACATCTCAGTCAGGGTCTTGGGCAGCTGTCCTCCCTCTCTGGTTTCCAGCACATCCTCCAGAACTGTAGCAGTGATCCAGCAGAAGACTGGGATGTGGCACATGATGTGGAGGCTTCGTGATGTCTTGATGTGGGAGATGATCCTGCTGGCCTGCTCCTCATCTCTGAATCTCTTCCTGAAGTACTCCTCCTTCTGTGGGTCAGTGAACCCTCTGACCTCTGTCACCATGCCAACACAGTCAGGAGGGATCTGATTGGCTGCTGCAGGTCGTGTGGTTATCCAGAGGCGAGCAGAGGGAAGCAGTTTCCCCCTGATGAGGTTTATCAGCAGCACATCCACTGAGGTGGACTTTCTAGGGTCAGTTAGGATTGTAGTTTTGTGGAAGTCCAGAGGAAGTCGACACTCATCCAGACCATCAAAGATGAACACAACCTGGAAGTCTTCAAAGCTGCAGATTCCTGCTTCTTTGGTTTCAGTAAAGAAGTGATGAACAAGTCCCACCAAGCTGAACTTTTCCTCTTTCAGCACATTCAGCTCTCTGAAAGTGAATGGAAATATGAACTGGATGTCCTGGTTGGCTTTGTCTTCAGCCCAGTCCAGGCTGTATTTCTGTGTTAAGACTGTTTTCCCAATGCCAGCCACTCCCTTTGTCAGCACTGTTCTGATTGGTTCGTCTCTTCCAGGTGAGGCTTTAAAGATGTCTTCTTGTCTGATTGTTGTTTCTGGTCTGTCTGGTTTCCTGGATGCTGTTTCAATCTGTCTGACCTCATGTTCATCATTGACCTCTGCAGTCCCTCCCTCTGTGATGTAGAGCTCTGTGTAGATCTGATTCAGGAGGGTTGGGTTTCCTGCTTTAGCGATGCCCTCAAACACACACTGGAACTTCTTCTTCAGAGAGATTTAAGGTTACTGACACTTCTGAAGAGCATTCAAAAGAAAAAAGAAGGAAAAATACAAATCTGGTCTGTAGAAAGTTCAGGCAACAATTTCATGCCCTAAATCATTAGCATTTCAACACATGTGGGTCCCTCTTTTGAAACATTAGTAAATGTTCCAGTTACTCAGCAAAAGAAAATTTTTAGAGAAATCCTCACTGTTCTTCAGACGGTCAACCAGATCCTCCTGCTTCATTCTCCTTAGGAAGTTTACTGTGATTTTCAGAACTGCCTCTCTGTTGCTCCTCCATTGCTCTTCATCTTCACAATGCAATACTGCTTCATCCTCCATCTCACTGCCTTCATAATATGGACTCAAAACCTTCTGGATCTTCTTCAGCTCGTCCTTCACAAAAGTGATGATGTTGTTCTCCAGCAGCTGGAACAGAATACTTTATGAATGAGCCAATCAGACTGAAATCATGGAGCCAAACATCAGATCTCTACAAAGAGCAGCATGGAGATGATTGTGAACACAATAGATGTAAAAGTAGTTGTTGTACATGTACAGACCATAAATATGGAGTCCAGCTGTGTTTGATGCTGCTGGGCAGACTGACCACTGGGAACCTCTGAGCTCTGCTGGTCCACACTGTGGAAGAACCATGAAGAATTACATTACACTATCTTTCCACATACACATCCAGCCACGTAAAATGGTCACCTGGTTATTAATGTGCCATTTATGCTTTCAAATAAATCAGTCATGCCTGCTTACTCAAGTTGTGGCTAATCTAAGTTTAACACTTTTGGGATTTGTTTCAATTTAAATATTTGCAGTGTGAAAGGGACGGTCCAAATGCAAATACAGACACTCTTCTCATGTGCAGAATCTATTTAGTTAGCTAGTTAAGCAATTGTAATTGCAAATGGACAGAATTAACCTGGTCTGGTCTTAATGAGCGACTATGCTAACAGCGCTCCCTGCACCTACAGACAATCATTCCTTTTTATACAATGCAATTAGGAAGTTATTCACAGCTGATATATTTTACATATTTTCTATATCGTTTCGTGCGATTGTGCAGTCAAAGCAACACCATCATATTATAACACTCTCAACCTGAATGTAGGGAAACCACAACATGTTTATATGAAACTGCAGTGTGTTATTTTCATAGTCTCTTGTGCATTATGTTCAGTTTTCTCCACCCCCTGCTCGTTAGTCGATTCCATTCCCCTGCACCTTGTTTCCCAGCTGTCTCTTTCTCTAATTATCTCATGTGTATTTAAACCCTCATTTTTCTAATTTCTCTGTCTTGTTGTCCTGTTTGAGTCTCACATGCTTCCTGCTTGAACCAGTTTTGAAACTTCTGTGAAACTTCCTGAATGAATGCCAATCACATGTTTCTTCCTTTAATAAAATTAAAGATTTTTCAGATTTCACTAGTTTTTAAAAGTATGCAGCCCAGAGTATGTTACTAAACTGGTGTTAAAGGCATCTCTAAGGGTTTCGTTTCAAACTCAGAAGCTTATCTGGGGTTTTAGAGATCTCGTTCTTTGCATAATAAATTTTACTCAGCTAATTACCACTTTATGTTTAATGGTTGTAAATGCTCCGTCCGCACTGATATGTTCATACTTTAGAGAAGTTCTGCCAGAAGATCATGGCTGTCATGACTACTTTTCATATGTTATATCTGAGTTTTATGAACCTTTGTGTAATGTTTGGTATCTGAAGAACAAACTTGTGACTGTGTTGCTCAAACCGGAGTTCCTCTACCTGATTTTATGTAAACATGGCCTGGATTTGTATAGCGCCTTACTAATCCCTAAGGACCCCAAAGTGCTTTACACGTTCAGTCATTCACCCATTCACACAGACATTCACACACACTACACTAACACTGCTCTTCAGATTATTCTGTACCCTGAGGTGTTTTTAGTGTACCGTAGATACCTACTTACTCCTCAGTACAGAGCAAACAGCCACTTAATGAGACGGTACTGATGGAAAACGTACCTCCTTCGTTTCCCTGGTTTTAAGGGTATAACGTTTTTCTTGAAAAATAGCGGTGGCTCCATGGAGGTATCACTCTTCACAGACTCACAGCTACGTGTCTGTTTGAAGACAGTTCTTTGACAGATCCTGGTAAGCACACAATGAGCCATCCCAGAGAAAATTAGATCATAAATGTATACAGTTTAAAAATGAATAACCATTAAATGTTAAAAACAATCCAGAACCCTGAGAGTCGACCGAGATGCATAAAAGGCCTTCTGTAGTCCTGCCTCAGAGCTTTAACCACCTCTGAGCATTGTTTTGGTGTCTGTTACTTGTGAGTCTCTTAGTTAAACTGAACTTCCAAAATCTGATTTCAGGTCTCACGGCTACGTCCCACTAACACTCACATTAATCTTTACAACCATTTTAGGTCTAAATATCAGCTTAAACCCGAGTACAGGGAACCAGGTAATTATAGCGACAGCTCTAATGGACGTTCCAGGAGAGCTCACCGCTTTGGTTTTCCTGCTATAAAGGTTGATGCTGGTTTCTTGAAGAATAGCGGTGGCTCCATGGAGGTATCACTCTTCAGAGACACACAGCTGTGATCAGGCTCACAGCAGCCTGGTCTGTCATGTCTGCCAGATAAAGAAGTAGACCACCAAGAACAAGTTTATTCAATTCAGTTTTGTTGACATAGCATGATTCTGAAGATGAGGACAGATGAGGAAGAAGATGAGCTGATGTTTACTTACACCGTCTCTGAAACAATCTGCTTTTTGAAGAAGAGTGGAGGCTCCATGGACAGATCACTCTTTAAGGACACACAGCTGGCATCAGGTTCAGGATAGTCTGATGGTCTGAGGCGGATCGCAGCAGACAGAAAGATCGAGTCCCAGGATCAAGATTAAGATTTCAATTAAAGATATTTTTGTGTTCAGAAAAACATGCAACCACATTATAAACAACAACAATTCTGGATGATTTACAAACAAATACTCGAGTCATTTCTGCTCATTACTCTGTTATTAGCAGCTACAGAAACTAATCCTTCTCCTTTCTGAAACTGAACCATGACGCTGCCCTACAGATGGACCCACACACTGTTTTCACCGTTCTCTCCAAAGTCATAGGAAATATAATGCTCACGTTTTCTGTTAAACTTTGTTAATTATCTCGAAGTTACTTACAGTGTGAATTTCCACCTGCTGAACTCAAACCATCTCACATAAATACAAACAGTTATTTTCTTCTGCAGCCTCATTTAAACCCTTCATCCTCTAACTCTTTGCTGTCAGTCAGACTGATGAAGAAAGTTTTCCCACCAATGTCTCAGGATCACACGGAGTTGATCAACTGTCGTGATTATATTTCTATCTTCTGTTCAACACATTTATCTCAGCTGAGCTGCTGATCTGAATACTGATGGCAATCAGCTTTATTTAATTTAAAGAGCACATTAAAGCTGAACTGTTCGTAGCTACACAAAGCTTAATAGAAAGGTAACAGCTGAACACCACAATAAGGACTCAGTCTCCCACCCACCCCACCAGCACACACACAACCTGTCTGAGCAGCAAGAAACATCCACCCCCGGACCAGCATTCATGGGACTTGATTACTCCTCAGAGACACACAGCTGGATTCAGAAAACCTCTGGGGGACATGAGGCCAACAGGTTCTCCCACTGACTCTGGCAGACATGGAGAGAAAACCATGTTAAATCATTGTTCACAGAAGATTCTCTCTCCACAGACATCTGACCTGTAGGAGGTCTCTTCATGTTCTTCCTCCCCACTTTCACCAAGAGCTGCTCACAGACGATTATCATTGGCGCCTCTCTCTAATACTGAACATCTTTACCTTACCTTATGAGTGAGATGACTATGACAGCTGGTGTTACATTAGTAAATATACATTTCTTTCATTCTAAAACTCATTTGTGTTATGATTCATGTAAAATTGCTAATAAATGTTAGAAATAATGAGTATTTATATACTTTAGCCTTTTTTCTTCCCCTGCAGGCATCACCAGCCTCCAGCATGTATTACTCAGAAGAAAAAGTTATATTAAGAAAATTTTAAGAATTATCGTTATTTTTTAAAATCTGCTCTTTGAGCCACTTGTTTGGTCGACTTGTGATGTATTTGTTGATGTTTGATGCTAGAAAAATAACCAGGATAGAAGAAGAAGAAGAAGAAGAAGAAGAAGAAGAAGAAGGGATTCATTATTTACAGCTTTGATTTGTGGTTGAATGATTTATTTCACAACCAGATCAAACCTCTAAACTGTCCTCTCATGTTCTGTGGAGCCTGGCTGTGTTTGTCACACCTGCATGTTTCACTGTGTTATATGTTCCCACACACTACAGGGATCCATGTGTGAATAATGATGGAGCAGTGATGTGAGTGCTGAGCTGTGACATGGAGAAGAGTCATGGACAGTTAGAGATGGTCATCTCACCTCTGAGCTTTGGTCTGGCTCTCATGTTCCCCACACAGAGTGCTTTTAGAGGGAGGGGCTCCCTCCTCTCTGTCCTCACACTGATCCATGCTGCTCAGCTCACACACACTTTCTACCTGCAGAGGAAACACAAATCATTCATGTGCACATCAGCTGAAACCCTGCTTTCCAAACATCAGCTGCTTCTTTCCTGCTTCCTCTCAGTGTCAGCTGCATGCAGTCAGACAGCAGTGTGAGGCAGAGGAAGCTGCAACCAGCTGATCTGCTTCTATTTAAAGGTTTTACTGATATCTGTGCCGTTATCATATCTGTTTATTGATCCCACTCTAAAACTTCTATTCCCAGTTTTATATGACTGTTACATTTTATATTATATTTATCAGTCTTACTCGGTCTGTCCGAGTTACAAACGTTACAAGTGTCGTAACAACCGTCCTTACAGACGATGACTTCCTGTTAGAGGAGAACAGCCAGTGTGACGCAGTATTTTTACTCACAGGTCGTTGTGTGTAATCCAAAACAGTCCTGTTTATAACAAATAATGATTGAGTGCGTCTCTCCCTCTGGCAGCACCGTGAAGATAAAGTCCCGTCCGGAGCTCAGAGTGTCTACATTCTGGTGTTGTGCCAAACGTGATCGCACAAACTAACACAATATGGCGAACACGGCCTCGTTGTGGTGCCGTATTCACCGTCTGAGCTGCGAGTCCGTCACCGTGAACTAAGCTGCACACAGGGAAACATCACAAACATTACACACGCCTTGCGTTACCTGAACACGGAGCTTCACACGGAGACGGTCCACTCACACAAAGTTCAGGAAAAAAGTAACGAACACGGAAACAGCCGAGCAGCTGCTGTTCACCGAGACTGTCTCATATTCCACGGAGAGAGCCGCACCTCCTCACGCACTAGTGATGGGTCGTTCGCGAACGAAATGGCTCTTAGATCCGACTCTTTGACGTGAACGACGCGAGCCGACTCTTTATCGCGAGCCGTCACGTGGGGTTTTTTTTTCTCTCACCTCTCTCTCTTGCTCTTCCATCTCTCTCTCTGCTCTTCCATCTCTCTCTCTGCTCTTCTATCTCTTTGACGCTGGGTCAAGGGGGAGGGGTAGTTTTGTCATCTTTTTGGCTGTGCATTGCAAGGAACAGAGCCAGATGGATGAGAGATGAGAAAGAGAGCCAGGGAATCAAGTCATCATTTAAGAGGTATAGGTAATGCATGCCACTTGAACCATTTTTCTGTTGCAGATTGATAAATGGATTCAGAAATAGTTATTTATGCATGTGCCCATTATGACTAGAGATAGTATGCATCTTCTTTTTGTTTTCATATTATAATTTATATTTAATTGTGTTGTGGTTTGCAGTGTTTTGTGTTGTTTCACTTTAAATTTGTAAAAGGAAAAAGCTGAAAATTTAAATAGTTAAAAGTTGAAATGTGAATAGTTGATTTTTGTATTATATGATTTATTTATTACATTTTATGTGGAGTGAATAAATAAAAGTATATTTACGGTGGCCCCTACAGACAAAGCACATACAAACTTCAAATCACGTACGAACTCTGAAGCACGTACAAACTCCAAAACACGTAAAAACTCCAAAACACGTAAAAACACGTACAAACTCCGAAGCATGTAAAAACTCAGAAGCACATAAAAACTCAAAACACGTACAAAAGACAACAGAAGTGCTCCAGGATGCTGGGCGCAGTGTTGAGCTTTTGTTATCTTGTGGCTACACAAGCCAGCAAGTACCAACGACCGGATTTGGTGTGTGGTAGTAACAGGTAAATGAACTTTTTTTAAATTATTTGAATATATATGAGTGCCTGTGTATAAATACACAAACAATACACACATGCTTTCAATTGTGTAATTTAAGTGATCTAGTAGCTCTGCTTTGGAAGTTCAGTTCATGCTAGAAATGTGTTTTGGAGTTTGTACGTGTTTTGTCTCTAGGGGCCACCGCATATATTTATATATAAACATATATAAATAAAACCACTTGTTTTTACGTTAGTAATTCCTTTTGTGCATAATTTTATATTATTGTTAATAATAAATTAATTAAAGCA